CTAATTGTCTGAATCTTGAATACTCAAAGTGTGAAATTTTTCATGGATTGTGGTGCCATTGAAAAGATGGTGCAGGAGTTTTGGTTACATACATAGATACTGACATATACGCTAATTCCATTATAGTAAGATAATCCTTCATCCAACACATTTAAAACAGGTTTTACGTCATTCTAAACTCTAGTGGACTTTTATACATTTTTACTACAAATATTAGATTCCTATTTTGACTTCTTTAGAAAAACAATTGACATAAAAAGCCATACCTCTGGGTTTACAAAAACATCATTTTTATCCTCTTCCTTGAGAAAAAACAATTTGTGTGTGGCATCTTGGGTCCACATTAATATATTTTCTACCAAGTTTTCGTGATCTTCAAAAACTCGATCTGAATCAAAAGTTAACGCATATTATCATTTCATCTGAACAAACTACTCTCTGATCAATAAAGTCAATTTTAAAGCAACTACAACTTCATAAAAACAGTAGTTATTAATGTGATCAAGAATTTTAAATCAAACTTTTCACTACAAATATATCCCAGTAACAGAATAATTCTCAGTATTATGTCCACAGTAGTAGAATGGTGTAATTCTCAGTATTATGTCCACAGTAGTAGAATGGTGTAATTCTCAGTATTATGTCCACAGTAGTAGAATGGTGTAATTCTCAGTATTATGTCCACAGTAGTAGAATGGTGTAATTCTCAGTATTATGTCCACAGTAGTAGAATGGTGTAATTCTCAGTATTATGTCCACAGTAGTAGAATGGTGTAATTCTCAGTATTATGTCCACAGTAGTAGAATGGTGTAATTCTCAGTATTATGTCCACAGTTGTAGAATGGTGTAATTCTCAGTATTATGTCCACAGCGGTAGAATGGTGTAATACTCAGTATTATGTCCACAGTAGTAGAATGGTGTAATTCTCAGTATTATGTCCACAGTAGTAGAATGGTGTAATTATCAGTATTATGTCCACAGCGGTAGAATGGGGGTAATTCTCAGTATTATGTCCACAGTAGTAGAATGGTGTAATTCTCAGTATTATGTCCACAGTTGTAGAATGGTGTAATTCTCAGTATTATGTCCACAGCGGTAGAATGGGGG